TTCCAGTGATCCAGGTGAGAGGTGATGGAGGCGATGGTAGAGAGGGTGAGAAGGGACCTGATTCCTGGGATATGTCAAAGGAAGTGCTGCAGGATTTGCTGATGGAGTAGGTGTAAGGCCTGAGAGACAGGAAGATTCCAGGGTGCATAAAAACCATTGGAAAAATTAGAGAAGGAAAGCAGATGAGTTAAAAATAATAGTAATTTTCACCTTTATTGGGTGCTTACTTTGCATCAAGCATCACGCTAAGTTCATTATCTACATCACATCACTTAATCCTCCCTACAACCCCAGTTTACAATGAAGGAACTGAAGCTAACAGAGGGTAAGCAACTTGCCATTCATGGAACACGTGGTGGGTCGAGGACCGGGCCCCATGCGGTCTGGCTGCAAAGCACGCGCCCTAACCCCTCCACGCGATACAACTTCTATTTTATCTGAGAAGTAAAAGGTTACCCAGAGTTGGGGTTCAAAAAGAATGTTGACTTATTAATTGAAAAATATGCATCAAAGATTTAAATAAATAATAAGACAATTGTTGACGATGCTTTCTTTAGGGGAGTGGTTGGTGTCGCTTGGGCCTCACCCTCCTGCCTGGGCCATGTCTCGATGAAGAAAATGACAGAGCTGCCATCTTTCTGGACCTCTTCAAAAGTGGTGTTCATCACTGAGGTATCCCCATCACTGAGTCATCCCTTCAGCTGCCACAACTGGTGTGGGACTGACTCCCAGCCCCCAGTCCTATGAGATCAACGTTCCCTCCACCTTGGAGCCTTTCAAGGGTCCTTGTTTAGCATAAACGCTGACCTGAAATCAAGTGGGTCTGCAAGATGGAACTTGAGTCATGGCATAGTTATTAAGCTGAGCACTGGGCTTGGCACTCAGAGGGACACCACATTAATTCACGACACAGCTCTTGCCCTTGAAGGGCTTACAGCATTGGTGTGGCTGGGGGACCACCCAACATCCATTAGGATGGAGAAACCAAATCTCCACTTTGGGTTCATTGTGCTGCACGCAGTGACAGGCCGGGAGACGAGAAGGGCCTCGGTGCCTGTGGAAGGCCTGGGTGGCTTGCAGCCCCTCAGCTTGTGGTGCATGAACTCCACGAGCAGCCCGGCTGCAGAGTCAAGGTGGCTGTGTGTTCATAAACATTGTCATTTCACTGGGACTGCTAGGCTTCACTGGGAAGCTTGGCTTCAAAGAACACTGACCTTATTCCTGTAGTCTGCCTTTCTTTGAAGCGTATGGCTTTGCCTTGCAGATTAAAGTGAAGACATTCATCAAGCAACAGATCTGGCCAACCGCTCCCCAAACTCAACCCAAAACAAAGCCTTGAAAGGCTCCAATCACAGCGGCAGGGGAGCAGCCGGAGATCAAGGCTCGGAGCAGGGTGCTTTCTCAGATCCCATAAGGCAGCTCTGGCTCCATGAAGTGCAGCCCTTTGAGCTTTGGGCAAGTTTACCCTGAGAGTTGCTCTGTCTTTGCAGAAAGGGGTGAGTTACTGCAACGTTCCCAACCAGACTTGTTTATCTTATTTAAAGCAGGCATTGTTGTCAATGAGGCCAGCGTGATGATTCACTGTGTGCTTTTGAATTCTTCAAAAGCCATGTCAGGCTGAACCATCTGAAACTTGGCTGATGATTCAGTCAGTTTTCTTTTTTATCACTTTCTTTTGTTAGTTCCTTTGAAAAGAAACTGTCCGATCTTTCTCCCTGATTCCCCTTAACTTGACTCTGAGAACACAGACTGAACACGTATCCTTCTCTCATTTCTTTCTTTTTTCTCTTAAGATGGCAAGAAGGGTGAAGTGAGACCCTTTAACTGGGAGGTTAAAAATAATGACCAGGTAAGAGAGAGAACCAAGGGAAATATCTCTCCCCTCAGAGGAAGAAAAACTGACGATAGATAGCTATCAAAGTTCTTATGATCATGTCTTTAAATGTAACTTTTCTGCAGATCTTTTTGGTCAGATAAACAGAGTGATTTCTGTCTGTGATGAAGTGGTAAAACCATCCAGAGGTGGGAAGGAAAAAATTGTCAAGTTGGGGACATGTTAATCAACGGATGCTGATAATATATACACTACAGGGCTTAAGAAATTAGTGATTTTTATTAAGACATAGGCTAATTTTCAGGGTAACTTTTTTCTAGTTATTCATCTTGAAAATATGACCAATGGATAATTCTGGTCATCATAGGACAATTCATTTAACTGGCATTTTAGCTTTAGTCTCAAATAATTGTTTTCCATTAAGAAATGCACATAGTCAAGAAGATCATTAAGATGACTTTGAGAGAGTTCCAGTGGTTCCGGACCAGTTTTTTCACACAACTGGACAGCTCATGTGTGAATGGAGACAGGTCTATTTCGAGTTTCAGCTTTAGAAGGTTTAAAGATATCTGCTTATTCATATCTATATCCATATCTCTTAGTTTACCACCACCATTTCCCCAAATTCCGGTGGGCCATGTGACTAGTTTTGGCCAATGCATGGTAAGCAAGGTGATGTGTCACTTCCAGGCTGATCTTTCTTTCTACCATGGCGACTGTGGAGGCCAGTTGCTGAGATGGCCAAGCCTCAAGCTCGCAGAAGCCTGAGTCACTTCCTACGGAGAAGAAGTGTGCAGGGAGATGTCCGATTTGTATTAGACCTGGTATTAGATCTGCGAGCAAGAAATAAACCTTGATTCAGGTAAGTCTTTGAGATTCTCAAGGTTTATTTGTTACACTGGCATAATTTAGCTTATCCTGACTAATCCAGGACCTTGAAGGAAATCTAGCTTTACCTCACCTGCATCACAAGAATCCTTCCTACAGCTTCTCCAAGACATAGTCCAAATACTTCTTGAACACCTCAGGAATAATACCAAGTAATGCAGCAAGCAATTATATATACAATGCTTACTATAGATGGAATTGTTTTCACTCATAATGAAGCATTTTATATGTCTTATTTTACCTAATTCTCACAAAAACCTTAGTTCATCAATATCCCTTTCCTTATTTTACAGCTGGAAGAACTGAAGCACAGACAGGTAACTTGCTCAGGGTTGAGCAGATCAGTGAAATCACTTGCCTAAGACCACAGTAAGTTAAGTAGTATCCCAGGAGTCAAGTCCAGGCAGCTGCTTTCAGGTTATGCCCTTAAGCATTGCACCATGGATGGACTGGATTCGCATTTCCTTTTTTTTTGTTTGTTTTTTCATAGATCTTTATTGGAGTATAATTGCTTCACAATACTGTGTTAGCTTCTGTTGTACAAAAGTGAATCAACCATATGTATACATATATCCCCATATTCCCTCCCTCTTGAGCCTCCCTCCCACCCTCCCTATCCCACTCCTCGAAGTCGTAGCAAAGCAAAAGAGAAAAAAAAATACCACATGCTAATGCATATATATGGAATCTAAAATATATATATATATATATGGTACTGATGAACCTAGTGGCAGGGCAGGAATAAAGATGTAGACATAGAGAATGGACTTAAGGACACAGGGAAGGGGAGGGGGAAGTAAGGCGAAGTGAGAGTAGCATCGACATATATACACTACCAAATGTAAAATAGTTAGCTAGTGGGAAGCAGCAGCATAGCACAGGGAGATCAGCTCGGTGTTTTGCGACGAATTTCTTTTTCACACGGACTATTCAATAAGACACAGAATCATAAAACCCAAAAGACATGGCTGGAAATGACCTGAAGGTCAGTCAATCATTGCATTTTACTTAGAGGAACAAAGTCACCCTCCAAGCCTTTTTCTTGCTTTAGTGAAAAAGAAAAGTCTATCCTTTTCAACCCAGTGACTGAGGAGCACGGGGGCTCAGTGGAATGGCTTCAGGGACCATTGGTTTGGAGGTACATAGAGACACTACGTCATCCGCACCAGCCCTGTTTTAATCTGCTTTATATATAGTAGGCTTCTGGGTAAAATGTGTATGTGAATAAAGTATTCTGCTGTTTTAATAAAATTGAAAAATGATGGATCTCTCCATATTTCTACTGAAATAGTAGGCTTGGAACATTGCACTAGACAGTATAGGGTTTCACATCAGCTGAGAGGTGGGTCAGGGCACACGGATTGTATAGTCCAGTGAGCAGGTCTGAGGCCAGGGTAATTTGCTGCTTCTACAAACACACTCACTAGACTGCCTGACAGCAAGAACTGCCCTAGCCATCACTGTTCCCCATTGTGATAAATAGTAGAAGCTCTATAAACTGTATATGAAAGATGGAGAGTTCCAAGAGCCTTTGATGAAACCATTTTTCAAAAAAAAGGTTAAGCTCATTTGAGTTGAACAAAGTAGCACACCTTGGCTGTGGTGATCCAACGTCAAAGAAATGGCTGGTAGGTTATGGTTGTGAGTGCTTTGTCCATATATTCTTAAATGGGCAGTGGTGACTTTCTTCTCCCCAGCTCCTGGCTGGTAATGAATGAATGAATGATGAGATAGATGGGTGGGTGGATGAAAAAAACGAATATTAAATTGACTAGTTTGTTCCCAGGGAAACACAAGTGACAGTTCCAAGAAAGCACAGGCAAACACACACCAAGTTTGGCTTCATAAACAAAATTATCCACATTTGCTGATCACATTAAGAGGTGAATGAGAAAGTTTTCATTGCTTTAAAAGAGCATCCTCCGCTTTTTTGTGTGCTGATGGCAGTTCTAGTACATTTATGTACTGTGTACTCTTATGTATTATGTACTATTGATGTGCATATGGCTTGATTTACAAATTGGTTAAGACAAAGGTGTATAGGGACTTCCCTGGAGATCCAGCGGTTAAGACTCTGCACTTCCACTGCAGGGGGAGTGGGTTCAATCCCTGGTCCGGGAACTGAGATCCCACATGGCACGCGATGCGGCCAAAAAAAGAAAAAAAAAAGACAGAAATTTATATTTGAAAAGGGGGGAGGTTGATGGGGCAGAAGGGAGACAGGGAGAGGTCTAGGAAAGGAATTCACGGGAGATGTGCTTGCTGCAGACCCTCTTACCTTGCGTGGTCCCATCTAGTCCCATGATGAATTTCATTGCTCTGATGACTTGCTCTGCTACCGGGGGGCTCATGGAGGTGGCATAAGCAGCGCTATGTGAGTGAGCCCGTAAATAGTCCACAAGGTCCTTTAATACAGCAGGGAAATCCAAAAAGAAGGCAAATAAATCTCAGTGTTAGTGGCCCCATCCCCACCCATCATCGCACAAGACATTTGATTCTCGAATGTGGTCTGATTTTCAATGGGCATCACCAAACTCTTTATTTTTTCTATCCCTTCTTCTTAGTCTCTCCCTAAACAACCTAGAAGGTATACCACAATGGGATGCTGCAAATTTGGAGTGGAGTTCTGTAAGGCAAAACCAGATGTGTAAAGGAAAAGTGGTTTCCTAGACATTTGTTTGGGTACCTAGCCCACACAAGCACTGGTTTAGTATTCAGGAGAGTCCAAAGAAAAATCCGGGATGTGTTTTTTGCCCTTGAGCATATTACATTAGCTTGTGCCCATGGAGGAGTAATGGCAGGAAAAATAACAAGACATGCAGACTAGTTTATGCAGCGGGGCTACCAGATGGCCGAGGAAGGAGAGGGGATATTACCAGCGGGAGTAGATAAGGGAGGCTCCAGTGAGGAAGTAGAATTGTCTTGAAGAAAGAAGACAGACAAAGATAAAAAGAAAACTTTCAGGGGAAGGGAGCAGCAGGAGGGAGAGGAGAGAAATTAAACCAGTGTGGAGGTGAGGACCAGATAAACTCTAGCTGTGCCTTGAGCAGGAGACAACTGTTGGGATTTTTGTGTAACCCTGTTTGGAGCGCTGACCCACTGCAGGATGCTGGCCCGTACAGTGGTAGGAATGATTCTCCACCTGCATGTCTGACCTTTGAGGCCAAACCTGAGGTCCCAGGGAAGCATGCTGAGAGCCTGAAGAAGCTCCAATCACCTCATTCTACAGCGATGGTGGGGGACTCAGAGCTGGTGCCTGGAGGCACTCAGCCCTGGCCAGGCAGACCATCCATTGGCCCACCTTTCCTGACTCATAGCCCAGGACCCTCGGGGTTGTCCTGCAGAAAAGCTAGTGGGCCCATAGCGGCTCTGCATCAGCAGTGGGGTCTGTAAAGCATCAGCCACCTTCTCTCCCAGGATAACGACACAGCTTAGGATCCCACTTAGGATCTACTCTGATCACTCCCTGGAAGATGAACTGCGGAGAGCTCTGCTTCGAGCAGGCCCATCTCGTCCTAACTCCCCTTCACCGGCCACATCCACTCCCGCCTCTGCGCCTGGGACTGTGCCCACCTGTCACTTTTCTCCCTCGGGTTATGGGTGTCGTGTTTGCTCCCAACCATGGGTCGTTACCCAAGCATTTTAAATGTACATAGTTTATCTTCCTATGAACGAGTAACTAAAGTTAATAGGTGAGTAAGTAGAGAGTACCTACAGTTACTATGAACTTTCCTAAACATTCATAGTAAAGTGAGTGGCCTGCCTTACAGGTGGTTGGTGACATGATGCCTCTACCTGGCCCACAGGGGGAACAGGTAACTCCATCCTGTCCTTCCTGCTTCCTTCAATATGTCCTTCATCCTAAATCCCCTCTTCCAAGCTCCTGCTTCCCCGACTTCCTTTCTCCATTTCACACTCTTCATTCCTTTTTGTTGGTTTCTTTCTTCTTTTCCATCCCCATCATTTCTACTCTGGTTCCCTCTCTCGCTCTCTCTTTTTTAACATCTTTATTGGAGTATAATTGCTTTACAGTGGTGTGTTAGTTTCTGCTTTATAACAAAGTGAATCGGCTATACATATACATATATCCCCATATCTCCTCCTTCTTGCGTCTCCCTCCCACCCTCCCTACCCCACCCCTCTAGGTGGTCACAAAGCACCAAGCTGATCTCCCTGTGCTATGCAGCTGCTTCCCACTAGCTATCTATTTTACGTTTGGTAGTGTATATATATCCATGCCACTCTCTCACTTTGTCCCAGCTTACCCTTCCCCCTCCCCGTGTCCTTAAGCCCATTCTCTAGTAGGTCTGCATCTTTAGTTCCCTCTCTTTAGTTATTTTAATTTTAAATTCTCCATTCAAATCCTTTTTCTTTCCATTTCTAAGTATTTCTTTCCTTCCTTTCTCTCTCCTTTCTTCCCTCGCTTCCTCCCTCCCTTCCTTCCTTCCTTCCTCCTTCCTTCCTTCCTTCCCTTCTCCTCCTTCTCTCCCCACCCCTCGCCTCTTCCCTCCTTCCATCTTTCCATTCAGCAAGTTTGTACAAGGATGTGCTCTGGGCTACGTTCTGAATGCCGGAGCCCAAGAAGAGGCGGAAGATAGAAAGCCTAGTCCCTGGCAGCCATTCTCCACTTACATTAAAATCAAAATTAAGTTTCTGTCCATTATTTTGTTTAGTGAATCTCATAAAAACAGTGTTTTCACTGTAGCTGAAGAGGATATGTGTGACGTTGGCCTGAATGAAGGCACTGGCCACATGGTATCCAGGAAGTACACTTTGACGATGGAGGATGTGGCGGGAGGGTCAGGGAGAGAGAGGCGGTCATTTTCCAGAGTAGCCGCAGCTAAGCTGCTCTTCACAATCCTCCGTGAGCAGCAGCAGGTGTTTTCTTTCTCTGCTGAGAGCTGGTGCCTTCCAGCAGGATGCTGGGGAAGCCAGTGAAGAGGGAACGGGTGGGATGCAGGAAATGGGATCATGGGGCTCATGTGGTCCGGAAAGATCTGTTTTGAGGAGATGATCTGACCTTGAAGGATGGGTAGATTTGGAGAGAGGAGGGGAGAGGCATAGACACGTGCTAAAATTAGTAATAAAGATGGCATCTTAATCAGCACAGGATGGAGGAGTCAAACGGGGGCAGAGGGAGAAGCTACTGCCTCCAAGAAAAGGTGATGAGGGGTTGTTCCCTTGAAGGGAGTTCTGACCGCAGAGTTATAAGACAGGCTGTGGAGACTAGATCACTTGGGTTCAAATCCTGGCTCTGCCACTTAGTGATATGCGACCGTGGCCAAGTTACTAAGCCTCTCTGTGCCTTCGTCTCCTCTGAAAAATGAGATAAGGGTAATACTTACCTCAGGGTCCTTGTGAGGATTCAATGAGTTAATACATACACAGTGCTTAAGAAGCCTCTGGTACCTAGTGAATACCTGATGCTGTTGGCAATTATTGTTAATGGATTGCCATCTCAGAGATTCTTAACACTGGGAGCATGGGTTGGGAGGAGGGGACCAAAATGTAAAAACTTCTTACAGTGTCTTTATTCCAGCTCCCTTGTAATGCTATAAGGTTACATAACTGCATGTTGGTAGATCCGGGCATCAAACCAAAGATTTTTCAGCCCAGCACTTCCTCCATCCTTATTGGGTGGTTAACAGTAGGAGTGAAAAGAAAGGAAAAGAGAGGCATTCTAAAGAAAGGAGAACCCAGACCTGATGGCAGATTGCATGACTGCAAAGATGGTAGAGCTGACAGTTCATTGATAGACCCAGAGCTGATATTCACTGGCTGCTTGAAGCTCCATTTTGAGAATTTTATGTGTATTTTACATGTATATTTGCATGTACTAACTCAGCTTCACAATAACGCTATGAGATAGGTATTACTTTTATCTCCATTTTACAGGTGGGATCACTGAGTCATGGAACAGATCAGAAAATTATCCAACCAAAAAGTGCAAAAAGTGGCTGGATAACAAGGATTTGGACCCAAACAGTCTGTCCCGAGATTACCGCCCCCCTTGCACCCCCCTTAGCTCTGCACTGTATTACTTCTTCAGACTAGAGGAGCTGGCTTGGCACAGGGTGGGGGATGGCCCAAGGAGCACAGAGAAGACCACCTTCACTGCTACTTATCCCTGTGGTGCTTTCCCTAATCCACAGAGATCGCACCTCTGGAGGAGGAGGGGAAGAGGAGAATTCCTAATGTACTCAAGTGTTCATAGTTCTAAACCACAGATTGAATTGTATCAGTCTCAAAATATTTCCTGTCTATTACATTTATTTCTCCAAAGAAACTGGAACCTCCTTGAGAGTAGGGAACTGAGTTATATACTTTATTATACACTCTCTTATAATCCATAGTGGTGGGTACTTAGTGGGGTTCTGGTAAATACTGATGGCCTAATGGAAAGCAGAAGGGTTTAGGGGCTAAGGAAGGATGGTGAGGGTCCCTGAAGTATAGAGGGAGGTATTAAGCTACATTCTTAGGAACAGGTATAGCAATATTCTCGTAGCCTTGGGGCATTGCTGACAAAGATCAAAGAAACAAAACAAAGCTGCCTTTGATCCCTAAAGGGGTCTTTATGTCCCCAACCCCCAATTTTCCTATCAAATTGAGAAATTTCACAAAGCCAAGGTCACATGCATCCTTAGTTTGAATAGATGCCTCATCGGCACAGTATCACTTCCTTTAAGCAGTAAGACTGTCTTGCCCATAATCTTATTTCTTTCAGACTGAGTCCAATTTCTCTCAGAATCTGAGTGTGTGGATGGGAGGTAATTTACCTGTGTGGTTCAGAAAGTGGGACTCTTGGAGTCCCCTCAGCAGGATATCAAGGAAGCCTTGGTTCCTGGTTTTCCGATTTCCTCCTATCATTGCCCACTGGATGCCATGAACCATGAATTACGAGTTAGCTTTGGTCTTAAGGAGAGACCATGTTGTGTTTTCCTTCAGGCTGGGTTAGAGGTCTCTTCAGACCGAGGTTTCCAAGGCCATTAGTAAATGCAAAACCCTGAGCCTGGAGTTCAAGGACAAGGGTGGCTTTTCTGAGAAAGTTAGACAGGAGGCTCTTAGGGTAAACATCTTGGCGTTCATTCCATGACCCCCATTTACTTCAAAGGGCTGTTAAATACAGCCAGGGCTGAGCACGCAGGGCAGAGTTGGCTTCTGCCTTCGTCTGGCGCCCAGGCTTCTGGGCTAACACTCACGCCAAGCTTGGCTGCCCAGTCCCCTCCTCCAGAATCTCAGCCCTGCAACCTATCAGTCAGGAGGGTCACCTTTGCTTCATTCATTTGCAAATCTCTGGTCACCCAGTGGAGGCTGTGAAAGCCAGTGCTCAACCCCAGGCATGCAAGAGGACCCAGGATCCTTGCCTGAGCAAACCCGGGATCCTAGAAGCTGGGGTCTGCAGTGTTGACCCCATCTCCTCAGCAACTGAATTAATGCAAATTCAAAAATAAAAGTAAGGAAACTAGCCCCATCAGCTCACGCTTTCTTCCAAGAAGCCGTTCATGGCATGGAGCTCTGATAGGTGGAGAGAAGTAAGTACCTGACATTTCACCTGAAGGTCTTGAAAGGAGAGAAAGACTCACGGTGGGGTGTTCTGGATCAGCTACAGCAGCTCCGAACTCACAGTGGGCAAAACAGTAAAACCTTGCTGGCTCTTGAGAGACTGTTCTAGCAGTTTCCCTGAGGTTGGGAGAGTAGGTCAGGCCAAGGCAGTAAACTCCAAGAGTGGAGATGAATTTGTAGGACATTTTGTTACCGGAAGGCTGAAGTGAGGACAAAAAAAAATCTCTACTCTCTGTAGTCGTATCTTAGCACCAAACCAATTTTTCTTTTGTGTGTTTCTGCATATTTTTTCTTACGTGACGCATCTGCCTTCCCCTGCTCCCTAAAGATTTCTAGAACCTCCTAGAAACTATTACTAGGAATATAGTCCCTGTGCCACTGACACTGACCTTGACATTTAAAAAGAGAGTTACGAGCTAGACAGTTTTATAGTTTTCTAGATTTTTGGACTCAAGTAATTATTTTCAAATCTGAAGATTTACTAGGAAGCCCATGAGCAGAATGAACTTGAAATTATTAAGATTTCAGAAAAATATAAAGTCCTAGTGTGTGCACTTTAACGTTTTTTATGGTTAATTTTGTTGCTTTTGTAGTATTTAGTATCTAGAATGCAGGATATACTTTAAAATATCCAGAAAAAATATGTATGATGAAACTCTGAACTCAAATTATTTAAACAGATACTAGAAAGATTATTTTTTCAAACAAATCTGTAGCATTTGCCCAATCCTATGTCCTATCAATTAAAAAGCATAGTTTAAAACAAACTGAAAATTCTTCGAAGTCCAGGGGCGTAAAAACTATGATTTAAATGGAAACTATACATAATATAAAATTAACTTAATTTAACAAATTAAGTGCACAGAGGAGCAGATGCCTAAGTTCCATTAACTCATGGGCTCATTAGGCTAGAAGGAAACCACAGTTTATCTGGGTTTATCACAGTCTCACCAAAACGATTCCAGACAGGTGTTTACCTGACTGAGTTTTAAATCATCAGGGAACGGCCCATGCAGACACTTTCTCAAGTGACCTCCTATCTCCTCCTCACCCTCCACATCTTGAAAACTACCCTGTGTTTTCTAGGTTTTGCATCTTGCTGTTTCAGGACAGTAGGTCTCTGCATGGGTCAGCCAAACACTCTCTAATTCTTGCTGCCACCTAGTGGTAAATTCAGAGACTGCAGAGTATTTGTGGAAGGAGTAGGGGGAAGGGGAGGGAGAGCGAGAGGGGAAGGGGAGGGGGAGGGGGGGGAGGGAGAGAGGGGAAAGGGGGAAATGATGAAGCCCTCTGGGTTTAAGTATGAACAAAATGAGTGTTTTTAAAGAGCAATAAATGATCTACATACTTTTATCTTCCTCTTGATTAATGTAAATACTCAATAATTTTCACAATTGTTCAGTATCTACCCCAAATCAATAGAAGTTACATAGACAAGAGCAAATACACTTTTAAAATAGTCCACCTGACTTTAGGATGGAGAGTATGTGAGAGAATCATACTGAGCTGGTCCTAAAGGGGCAGTCAGGAGCCTTTGTTTAAAGCGGGTATCACTTGAAGGAACTCTAAGGGGGACGTGATGACAGCTACCACGTCTGACAACATTTCAAGGATCCACTTGCTTCAGTTTATTCAGGTGCCTTTGGTTCAGGAAACAGAGTTACGCTTGGTTAAAAAGTTTGTAGCTCAGAACTTCTGCTAAAGTAATCACAAAGCCAAGTAGCCTGAGTCGGGGGCATGCCTCCTTTGAGACCCTCTGATCCCATTGCTTTGACAGTCGAGAAACGGAAAGTTTAACCTCTCACCAGATTTAGCTGAGTTTTGTAAGATCCTGGGCATTCCCTATGTTTTTAGCATCACCCAGCGAATTCCCACAGACCAGTGGAAGGACGCTGAACATGCTTCTTGAAGGGTAAAGACCACTAAAAGCTCTGGACGTTTTAAGCATTTGCGCATCTCATGGCAGGGTCAGTGGCCGTAATAAAATCTGTTGTTTTAAATCATGGGCTTTCCACAACCAGACTGTTTTCTCCGTACTCTCTGGTTTTGTCTAACTGGTTTACCAGGAGTCTGAACTCCTGTTCCTGCTGGGGACAGTGAGTGAGGAACCAGGAATTTTAGAGAAGCCATCGAGCCACCGGCATGCACTGATTTTGAGCCTTCTTTGCCCTCCTGGCTGGAGCCAGCTACACTATCACAGTCTCTCTGGGACAGGTGTAGGCCTGGGGGAGACAGCTATCAGGATTTGGATTAGACTGTCCTATAAAGGAGCAGATTAACTGGCTCTCTGAGCCCTGAAACCCAGGGTTTTGTTTGGTTTTGTTTTTGTTTTTGCGGTGTGTGGGCCTCTCACTGTTGTGGCCTCTCCCATTGCGGAGCACAGGCTCTGTCACGCGCAGGCTCAGCGGCCATGGCTCACGGGCCCAGCTGCTCCGCGGCATGTGGGATCTTCCCGGACCGGGTCACGAACCCGTGTCCCCCGCATCGGCAGGCGGACTCTCAACCACTGCGCCACCAGGGAAGCCCTGAAACCCAGGTTTTAATATTTCATTTTCTTTCTCTCCACCCCTTCCCTCTTCTTTTAAAATCCTTTCAAGCATTTGTTTTATTTTAGCAACCCCCTTGGTGACATTGGCAGTAGAATGACAGGGATAACACTTAACAGTCTGATTCCTTCAGATCAGAATCTTAAGTCACCTAGATAAGGTATCAGAGGATGACAAGATTTGACCCATGGCTTATCCAAAATAGTGGAAGAGAATTAGTTTGCAGAGAAAATCTCTAAAAAAGACATTTCCGATCTTGCTACTATTTTGATTAAAACTCTGAAAACCCACAACTTGTAGCACAGGGTCAGTGTCCTTAGCATCTGACCTCTGCTCACTGTTTCTACCACCCACCTTGCGTTTTTCACGCCACAAAACCCAAACGACTTACAGTTCTGCAGCATCACTTCTGTGGCTTGTTAGACATCATTCCCTCTTTCTGAAATATAAACCCCGCTGCCCCATCCTTTGTCTACAAGACTGACATTCATTCTAAGACTTCTTAGGTACTGCCCTTTCCTTTGTACTGTCTTTGCCTGTGTGCACAGCCGCTGTTGTCTTTTTATGGTCATGTGATTACTCATCACATGCTCCTCTGCGCTATCAGAGAATGAGCTCCTTGACCTCCTGGGCCTGCCATGGCTGTGAACACATGGTGGCAAGGCTGCCCTCATCAGTCAAGTGTGTTGAACTGAACTGAAGCTCTCAGGGAAATCAGAAGACCCCGCAGACTACCTTCCGAGGGCATTCAGGTTTTAAACAGACACAAGGGATCTGTCTCTTACCTTCCTTCCAGCTATGTAACCTCCCGAGGCGCCAAAGCTTTTGGTGAATGTGCCCATAAATACATCAATATCTCTGGGGTCCATGGCAAAGTACTCCATCACACCCCGGCCGGTCGGGCCCACGGACCCAATACTGTGAGCTTCATCTACGTAGAGGTAAGCCTTGTATTTCTTCTTTAGAGCCACGATCTGGGATAGACGCGCGATGGAACCTTCCATGCTAGGGCATAAGGAGAAATGCTCATCACCCGTGTGTACCCTCCAGGGAAACTCTGTGTCACTCTCCCTTTCAGTACTTCTCAGACAGTCTGCCCTGACACCAGAAGGGGAAGACAGGGACATGCCATTCCTTTCTTCTGAAGGCATATTTTATTTGGTGGAGACAAACCTCTCAATCTTGTAAGGCTGCTCTGGCATTATTTCACTTGGGGAAAAAAATCATTTACATTCAGTGGATTTAAGTGCTTTGAGTTGTTATAGCTAATTCCCAAGTAAACAGCTCACTGCATTGTTGATCAATTTATCCATATTAGTAAAGCCGACTAGCATAACTAGACTGACCATGTTGGATTCTAGGTATTTTGCTAGTTTTAATTAAATGGCTCTATGTTGATGTATCTTCATCAGCCTGCGACTGTCTACCTGGTCAGTTCTGTCTGACCTAAACTCAGTGCTTGAATTGCCAAAGATTAAAAGAAGGAATTAAAAACACACAAAAGAACTTTAAGACATCATAAATTTATTAAAGCATGGGAGAAAGTCCTTAGGGTCTCCTGTTCAGTCCTCACTGAACTCAAAGGCTTATTCGAGGCTTCTGGTGGTGTCCCTTCTTTTCCTTTAGGGCAATGGTTCTCCATCTTGAGTGAGCATCAGAGTCCCTTGAATGGTTTGTTACAACACAGATTGCTGGGTCCCACCCACAGAGTTTCTGATTTAGTAGGTCTGGAATGGGCTTCGAATTGGCATTTCTACCAAGCTCCTGGGAGATTCTCCTACTGCTAGCTGGAGACAGCACTCTGAGAACCACTGCTATAGATCAACTTTTGTTGCCTAAGTGCTTAATTTTTCATGGTATTATTGTAATTTGGTAAATTTACATGGTATTTTAAATTGCAAAAACACTTCTAGTCCTCCAGCAAAGGGAAAGACAGGAAGTAAATAAGCAAGTGAAATGAACATTGATATTTACATGACACCTCTTGGAACCCAAGGGATTTAGAAGAACTCTTGTCTTTAATCAGTTCTCAGAACACTTCTTAAGCTGTGTCCACAGCTCACACAGTTTTGACTGCACTGACAGGCGGGTTCTATGAAAACACACAGACTCACACCCTCACCCCCATGAAGGAGCTTGTCAAACAGTTTAAGCAACCCATCAATTTAGTTCAAGAACTAGTCAGTTGACACAAACAGAGTTGAACTTCTCCCTTCTTCTTAATTAGTTTATGTATTTATTTAATGTATTAAAAAATAATTTAAGTGTTAGGTCGATTCAGTCAAAACAGTCCAGCTGTTACGTAGTTACCCAGACCAACAGGTGTTGGATGCTTTTTCTTTTTTTTACAGGACTTTATTTTTCAGAGCAGTTTTAGGTTCACAGCAAAATTGAGTAGAGGGTACAGAGATTTCCCATATACCCCCGCCTGACATATGCATACCCTCCCCCACTATCAACATCACCCACCGAAGTGGTACATTTGTTTCAACTGATTAACCTACATTGGTACATCATCATCTAAAGCCCATAGTTTATATTAGGGTTCACTCTTGGCATTGTATGTGAAACCAAGCAGGACCCTGTGGGGCTCCTGGGCACAAAAGCCTTCTGTCCCCTGTTTCTTATTTGTAGGAAATAGGTTTCAGCTTTCATGACCTACCCTGAGTTCCAAAGGGCAGGTTCAAACAGTTGCTGATCAGGGAAGAGAGGGGATGCAGAGACAAGGGAAGAGCAGTCAAGAAACAATAGTGCGGCCTTGGGTCAGGGTCCTGGTTCTGCCTCAAGGGATACACATAACAATATCTTCGAGCTCTTCTCATATTTACCCATTTGCCAACTGAAGGACATTTTGGTTGCTTCCAAGTTTTGGCAGAACTAAAACCCCCAACAAATGGAAGATGTTAACTACTTGATGAAGCACTCTTCATTCAAGAGAGGTCAGTTTGATAACCTCCAGAACCACAGAAGCTCATCAAAAGACCACCAAAGCCCAGATTAAAGGAAGGCAGGCCCTGCATACACCCTGAGCCTTATCAGCAGCTCCATCCTTGAACCATTGTTATAAAACTCCTCACCAAATCCCCCCAGGTTGGGACACACAGTTTTGAGAGCATTAGCCCCTGTGTCCCCCTTTGTCTGGCAAAGCAATAAAGCTATTCTTTTCTACTTCACCCAAAACTCTGTCTCCAAGATTCGATTTGGTATTGGTGCACAGAGGCTGAGTTTTGGCATCATACATTCTATGGGTTTGGACGAATGCATAATGACACGTATCCATCATTATAACATCACACAAACTACTTTCACTGCCCTAAAAATCCACTGTGCTTACCTACTTATCCCTCTCCACACCCAACCCATGGCAACCAGGGATCTTTTTGCTGTTTCTATAGTAATGCCTTTCCCAGAACATTATGTAGCTAGAATCATACACTATGTAACATTTTCAGATTGGCTTCTTTCACTCGATAATATGCGTTTGAGTTTCCTCCACATCATTTCATTGGCTCCACAGATCATTTCTTTTTAGTGCTGAATAAAATTCCATTGTCTGGATGGACCACAGTTTATTTAGCCATTTGCCAACTGAAGGACATTTTTGGTGGCTTCCAAGTTTGGGCAATTATAAATAAAGATGCTACAAACATCTGTGTGCAGGGTTTTGAGTGGACACAAGTTTTCAACTCCTTTGGGTAAATACCAGGGAGCATGGTTGCTGGATTGTATGGTCAGAGCATGCTTGTAAGAAACCACCAATCCGTCATCCAAAGTGGCTGGACCATTTTGCATTCCCACCAGCAGTGAATGAGAGCTCTGGGTTACTGCACATTCTCTGCCAGCGTTTACTGTTGTCAGTGTCCCAGATTGTGAACTTCTAACAAGTGTGTAGTGGTATCTCATTGTTTTAATTTGTATTTTCCCTGATGGCATATGATGCGGAGCATCTTTTCACATGCTTATTTCCATCTGTAAATCTTTGGTGAGGTATCTGTTAAGGTCCTTGGCCCATTTTTTAACCCGGTTGTTTGTTTTCTTATTGTTGAGTTCTAAGAGTTTTTTGTATCTTTTAGATAATGATGCTTTATCCAATGTATCTTTTGCAAATATTTTCTCCCAGTCTGTGGCATGTCTTTCTAATGCTCTTGGCTTTGTCTTGCAGAGAAAAAGTTCTTAATTTTAATGAAGTCCAGCTTATTACACTTGTGCTTTTCACAAGGTCATTCTGAAAGGCTGTTTTCAGATTTTAATGACATGAAGACCAAATAGAGTCATCTTCTCTTATAGAAGTTTGCAAGTTAATTCCAGTAGTTTCTTAGAGTAATTGCTTGTTAAAGTTGTTTCCATTGACGGGGAGGAGGTCCAGCCGGCTGACTGCCTAAGCTGAGATGGTAGCCACACCACTTACTAACTGAGGACTTGGGCAGCTTATTTGCTCTTCACTGCCTCAGCTTCCTCGGATAGAAAATAAGCATGAGGATGACACACTGCTCATAAGGCCTTTATCAGAATGACTAGAAATAATATTTGTAAAGTGTCTGACGTATAACGAGCACCCATTGGGTTGTTCTCGTTCTCAGGTGGAGCTTAGGAGGAAATGGTAGCAACGAGGCCTAATTTGAGAAATTGGGAGCCCTTGACAATGCTCTGTGTTGAATTTTCCAGGAAGAAAGCATATGGGTGTCACACATAATAAATGGCTGTATGCCCTCAAAATTCTAGAATCTTCTCATCTTTTAAAATGTTCTAAATTGGTAACACAAACATGCTAAAAGCCTGACATGTCACAAATAGCCATTCTTTGTTCTGGAACTGAGTTTGGCAGGAACCAGAGTTAATGTTGAACAGTTTGCAGACACTCCGGGCAGCTAATTAGCCATCTTTGCTTGGGCCGATCTAGCTGATGTGAGGAGCCCGCTCACCTGGTTTACATTTCTTCCTCGAAGATTAATGACTCCACAATACTGCTGATTTCAGGAGTTAATGTAGGGCACACATGAGTCCTAGAGGGAATTCAGTTTTCATAAAGAGCTATATTTACCCACACTAAGTTTTCATTCTCTCAATGTGACCAAATTTGAATTGAACCTTTCCCTGTAGTGAGATACTGAGTGTGGTGTTTACATGAAAAGGCTATCTATGTTATTGCTGCAGATTGCTGTCAAAGAACACTGTGCCAGAAACGATTTTAAAAAAACCCAAACAAACCTAAGAACAGTGTTTTATTCTTTCTTCCTGAGTGGAAGTTTGTGTTTTCTTTTGACTTGAATAGAAAAAAAAAAAAACAACTAAAATACAACTGTAGGTAAAGATAATTCCACCAGTTAATGTGAAGTTCTGTGCAGGGACTTGAATGATTCTTAAACCAGCAAGTCAGTGAATAATTTCTTTATATCTTTTCTATTACATAATGTATTAGCTAAGTAACAAGACTCCTTTTTGAAATCTCCCTCTCACCACCTTCTCCTCCACCTATAAACCATATTACCCACTGGCAGGATTGGGATTTAAACCACTGGTTTGCCAACTTACATGGTGGAAAAATCTCCTTGGTGGGCCCTGAGTACAACCCAAGGGGAGAAAGGAAGGTGGAAAGAAAGGGGAAAAAAGGAACTAAGCTTAATTAAAAATAAAGTAACTACTGTTTTCTTTGTCTTTGTCTTTGTTTAAACCACAGAGGTATAGGTGAGAGTTTACCACTGAAGATCTCAGTCCTTAAACTTACATTATTTTTGGGCAGGAGAATGGCTTACATTCTTAGAGAAAATGGCATTCTGAGATTTCAACCTTTGTTTATATGTGTATTTTTGGAAAAGGTTGGATAGTATTTCTTGATTAATTTTATTTTGAAAGTTTGGGCTCCAGCTATGCTAGTTTATACCCCCAGTTATTTGGGACCTCTCTGCCCATCTCTAGTGTATTTTTGAATAATTTTGAGATTGTTTGACCACCATGAATCAACCACTAGGCTTCTCAGAGACACAAAACTAGAAGACTGTGACTTTAAAACAAGACTTAAAAGAAAATGCAGGTGAGAACACTAAAATAATACTATTGTACTTCTAAACCCCAAATTATGGAATCATGGAACTCTACACTTCAAGTTTCAATCTCCCAATTTTACCGATGAAGAAACCGAGCCCTAGACATGTTGATGCTGAAAGGCAAATGGATGACCTTGCATTTTCCACATTTACTTCATTGAATGTGGACACATGGGCTGATTCTTCTGTTTACATTGGGCCTCTGTCCCAGCAGGGCCACCTGGTTTGAATCCCAGCTCTGATTATCTCAGTTATCTGCCCAGGGGCAAGTTATCTAGGTCTTGGAACCCGAGTTTCTTCATCCTCACAATAAACTTAGGAGTACTGGAGGCGCTTACTCAAAACAGCACATGTGAAATGTTTAGCAATAACACATGATAAATGTGAACCCTGTCCTCTGACACCCATCCTTCAGGAGTCAAACAGCTTCGGCATGCAGATGGCCTATTGCTTTCTGAGTTGCAACTTCCTCAACTGAAAATAAATTCAGTGATGAAGACAGCTACCCTTGGTTGTGGGTTTACTATGCCCTGGGCTTCTCGAAGCACTAGCTTATGTGATCTCACTTAATTCTTACAAAAGAACCCTATGAAGGGCACATAGTTATAGGCAGCAACACAGGATCAACACCCATGTCCCAGGCCTCCCTCCAAATCCTGACTCCCCTATAGTCTGTATATAAATATTAATACATACATGATCTATGGATGATGATATTATTATTGCTACCATTATTATTATTATCATAACTGCTTTTGTGGAGTTTACTGACTTCTTGGATTTGGTATCTAGACTTTTCTACCTTGATACCTACCTGAAACTGTCTGATTTGGCTGACTGCTCTTTTTTGGAGTTTTGAAGAAATTGATTTATGGGAGCTGTCTGTGGTAGGGAGACTTTGCCCATGGGGGCAAACCACAGCCAGAGATAAGAGAGATCTGGGAGTGAAACTCTAAGGAGGTTTTGTGTGAATTCTAACAAGGTATACATCCATAACACATCTCTGGAAAGTAAAAGTACATTTGTGAACCACTGGTTTCACATTCGTAACCCTGGCCCTTTGGAAAATCTTGTGGGAAATAATTTCATTTTCTGGTGAGAGCAGCAAATGAGAAAATCCATATGTTCCAGAACTCTACTCTAGGCCAGTCTTATTTTACGGACGAGGAAACTGAGGTCCCAGGAGGTACTGAGGCCTGTTTAAGAAGGGTCCTGTTTCCTGTCTATGAATGAGTGCCTTTAGGTCACAGTCTCATTTAAAGACAAGATTCCTGCACAGGTGAGAAAAAAGGAACATCTCTGAGAAGGCAAGTCCATGGACAGTGGAGACTTCTCCCTGTATACATGTCGGGTTGATGGAGCTGCTGTGGTCGATTGCCTCCAAAGATGGTTGCCTGTAAGTTTTCCCCTCCCTGTATACACAAGCCAATCCTCCCATCAAGAGGTGGGGTCTGTTTCTCCTCCCCTTGAATCTGGGCTAGACTGGTGTCATGCTTTGACCAATAGAATATGGCATAGTGATGTTGTACCAGTTCTGGGCCCAGCCCTCAAAAGGCTGGCAACTTCTGCTTTCATTCTCTTGGAAGCCAGCCACCATGTTGTAAGGAAGCTCTAGCTAGACTGCTGAACGAGAAAAACCTACATATAGAGAAAGCACCCCAGAGAAGAGGAGAGAATAAGGCACCTCAGTCAACAGCCAGTACCAAGAGCCCACATGTGTGAGTGAGGTCATTTTGGATGCTCCAGACCCAGCCAAACACCCCATAGAAAGCAGCCGCATGAATGACCCCAACCAATGTCACATGGAGCAGAGCTGCCCAGTTGGTCCAGACAGCCCGCAGTAGCGTGGGAAATAATAACTCATTGCTGTGTAAGCCACCGTGCTTTGAGGTGGCTCGTTTCACAGCAGTAGGTCACTGGGCAGTCACCATTGCTAGTGAACCCTAAGCTGTGGTTTGTTGCCACCCTGTTTTGGAGCCGAAGTCCACACCTGCCTCCCCTATCCTCCTGATATCATGGTAGGACCCAGGCCCAACATAGCCATTAGCAGAGGGGTTTCTTTGTGTAACTGATGGGAATATTTGACAGTGAAACGCTGGTGGTCCACTTAATTTCAGCCATGATCAAAGTACTTAGAACACAACTTCTCTTTAGTGAAGCCAAGTTCTGTTTATTTGCAGTTGGGTTCTGTTTACTCTGGTTAAAGGAGATGCCCGTCTGCTCTCCCTCCGCTGATCTGTGCTCCCACCAGTCCAGGCTTGATTGACAGGTGTTTAGATAAGTTCTCCCCTCCCAGGCTGGCATCTGGCACGAATCGCACAGGGAGAAAGACCCGTGATTGAGGCTATGACAGCCCAGAGTCAAGATGAGATTATTTCCTAAAAGTAGCAAGTTCAGGGCCAGTGAGTGGTTACATTATTCTACAGCAGGGTTGCCCAAACTCGGCGCTGTTGACGTTTTGAGCCAGATAATTCTCCGTTGCAGGGGACTATCCTGTGCATGGTAGGGGGCTTCGCAGCATCCCTGGCCTCTGCCCACCAGATGCCAGGATGCCAGCAGTACTTTACTGCAGTTGTGACAACTGAAAATTGCCGGATGAGCTTGTGTGGTGCCCTGGGGACGGATTCCATTAGCTGCAGAACAAAGGCTGCTCTATCTCAAGCCTCCTTTGCAGCCACGCTTCCCCGTTGTGGAGCACAGGCTCCGGACGCGCAGGCTCAGTGGCCATGGCTCACGGGCCCAGCCACTCCGCGGCGTGTGGGATCTTCCCGGACTGGGGCACGAACCCATGTCCCCTGCATCGGCAGGCGGATTCTCAACCACTGCGCCACCAGGGAAGCCCCATTCCCTTCCTTTTAATCTTGTTCACTTTCCCATAATTAACCCATAGGAAACATTGCTCTTGCTTCTTCTAACATTAAGATTGAGAATTGATTTAGGAGTGAGTAACTCTGAAGTAATATTTCCTTGACTCATGGACTAGGGCATCCAACAGAAGACAAACTTGGGAGCAGTTCCTACCTTAGTAACGATCATCAATTCAGACATAGAATGAAGCAAATGCAATCACAACCAGCAATATGAAAGTGCAGCTCTGACCGGCTTAGTGGGTGTTTTGTCTGCTCAGCCTACAAGCTGTGGGAAGACTGAGCGTGCCTTCAGATGCTAAGACCGTCTCCCCTTCTTCCCAGCTCTGCATCAAGAATTGTACTCCAGGTTAACCTTACCTTGAAGAAAATGTGCAAGCATTTTGTAGTCTGATGCTAACAATTGGCCAAGTTCAGCAAGCCTGGACTCTGGGTGCACTATTGAGTTAGGGGCAGCTGGGTGCCCACCAGCAGTATCTACTTTCCTGCCTTTGTCATAAAGGCAAAGAGTGTTCTGAGGTTGAATAACCCATCCCCTAAAAGCCTTTGAAACTGTGGGGCAGCCAAAAGTAGTGGAATCAATACAAGTTAGCAATGCTCTGTCAGGATGTTTCTGAAGACACCTTCTTAAGTACGCTAGCCTCCAGGGTGCTCCGCCATACGTATGGTCATTGAAAAGACAGGTGACCCAAGACCTGATGGTTCACACTGATAGCTCTGACTCAGGTCCCTTCATAACACCTATATCTAACTCATTTTTCCATTTAACTAGGAGAGGTCAGCCTTGCCTCATCTGTCAGCTCGCTGTGGGCCTCAGTGTGTGAATAGGTCTCAGGTTATTTACATACCTGTAGATGCCCTCCACTAGGATGAGAATCTTTTTCCAGGCTCTGTGGGTTCGAGGCTGGCCGTAGATTACAGCATCTCTCAGGAGCTTCTCTAGGCTTTGCATGTCTTTAAATAATACACACAAAAAATTGAGTCATGAGAGGGCTTTTCCTTTCCTCCTTCACTTTCTTTTTGCAGAAGGCAGCAGATATTTTAGGCTCAGCCTCTGACCCAAACTTTCAGAGAGCAAAGTCGAAGTCAGAGAACACCTTGGGGGACAGACAAGTCCAGTTTTTAGTCAAAGTTAACTCTGACAAGCTGAGTAGTCAGGCTTGTAAAGCCAGCAGAATAAACCTCTAGTGGGAGCACATAGTTTCACAGGCTCTTCAAAGGCTGTCCTCACCTGCCTTAGCAGAGATTGCAGCTTTACATTAAGTGCATTTCTTAAACTTAAGCTTTGTTGCCAGGTGAAAATTAGCCCTGAGGGATATCATTAACTAACACTCACCAATCGATGGTTTAGCCACCAGCATGGTAGAGTTTAGCTGGTTTTGCACAGAACGGCAGCATTTTGGGCTGGCAGGGGTCTCACTGCCTAAGTTTTGGGAGGTGGGTAAATGGATGTGGTGTGGAGGCCATGTTCTGGTACAAAGCAGTCCTGGTTTCTTTCAAAACTTTAAGAAACTTTTGAAAGAATCATCATTTGGGGAACCAGTAAAAATGTAGATTCCTTCTCTCACTCCTAGAGATTCTGGACCAGTTCGTGTGGGATGGGGTCCACAAGGGTTCAGGTTTGGGGTCTTGGCACTCCTGGGTCCATCACTCAAAGCCAGACCTATATTTTGAGCTACATAACTGTTTTCCAACCACATTTTAGACAAAACCATGGGTACCTCAAAATAAGCATTTCCAAGATAGAACTTGTGGCAGATGGCATCGTTGGCCCCAATTCCTACACTCCCCTAATTTGAGTCCTTTGACATGCGACCTCAGAGCCCTCCCACTAAAGGAACGGAAGATGTTTCCCTGCCTCTGGCTTGGGTTCAGCCAATGCTTTGGCTAATAGAATCCAGGGAAGAGAGAGCAGGTTGGTTCTGCACCTCGGCCTTAACACGTTTCTGCTTTTCCTCTTGTGCTTCTACCAGTGACATGAAAAGAACACTCCCAGGCTAGTCCACAGGTCCTGGGAGGGTCCCAGGAGAGGCTGAGAGACAAGTAGGGCACAGTTAGCCCAGCCCACTTGCAGTCATGAGTAAGAAATAAGTGATATTTGTTGGATGCTACTGGGGTTTCGAGGTTGTTTGTTATGGGACTAGCTAAAGAATGCAGTCTCCAAAGGCCGTTCCTGCTCTAGACCCTGGCTATCTTCCCCATATGGTTTCTCAATATTCCCCAGCACACAGCCTCCCATCTCTCTTACATGCTTCCCTGCTCTTGTCTGTCTGGAGAACCTCCACCCACCACGCAAGCCTCCACTCAAACTCTTTTGGCCAATAGAACAGAATTTCTTTCTTCTTTGTGTCCTTGATGACTCATCTATTCTGGATTTAAGCACTCATCACACTGCTCATTATTTGAGTTCATGTCTCTTCTCCAGGGAAGGCAGGGACCTTATCTTATTCATCCTTTTAGCCCTAGTCCTAATGCACAGTGCTAGAGCTAAAGTGATATATGATAGTTGAATCGCTTGTCTTTTCATGGAAAAGATTGTAGACCAGGAAACAGGAAAGGGAATGACACTTTGGGATCTAAATAGGAATTATGAGAAAGGATAATTGCCTCATACCTGCAGTAATATTTCTTTAATTAACTGTGTTTTTAGCTTTTTTTTAAACATCTTTATTGGAGTATAATTGCTTTACAAAGATGTGTTAGTTTCTGCTGTATAACAAAGTGAATCAGCTATACATATACATATATCCCCATATCTCCTCCCTCTTGCATCTTCCTCCCACACTCCCTATCCCATCCCTCTAGGTTAAAGACAGGCAGATAAATCTTCTGAGTCTTCACGTAAGATGTAGTGTTGTTTTAGTGTCACTACATCACTGACCACTAGATGGCAGCCAAGGAAACAGAAAGCAGCTTTCTTATTTTGAGAATTTCAGGGATAACAAACGTTCATCCTTAGACCTTTTGCTTTCGGCTGGGTACCTAAAATGTTGAAGTAACCCATGTGATTGGGGGAAGCAGCTCCCTTTTCTATAATCCACCGCAGACCTGTTAGTCTCTGAAGGAAATAAAGAGCTGATGAATATAAGTATACCTGCTTACAGAGTTTTTCCTTCTGGGACTTGGAATTTACAAGTTTTTATACAGAAATGACACATGGTGAGTGTGACTCCGATGCCATAGTAATAAAAGCAAACCCAGACTCCAGAGAGTGGGCACAGAGGGAGCCGACCTCCACATAAGAAAGGCCGCATACGACAAAGCCACAGCAGTCAACATCGTTCTCAATGGTGAAACACTGAAAAAGCATTTCCTCTAAGATCAGGAACAAGACAAGGATGTCCACACTCACCACTATTATTCAACATAGTTTTGGAAGTCCTAGCCATGGCAATCAGAGAAGAAAAAGAAATAAAAGGAATACAAATTGGAAAAGAAGAAGTAAAATTGTCGCTGTTTGCAGATGACATGATTCTATACATAGACAATCCTAAAGATGCCACCAGAAAACTACCAGAGCTAAGCAATGAATGTGGTAAAGTTGCAGGATACAAAATCAATGCACAGAAATCTCTTGCATTCCTATACACTGATGGTGAAAAATCTGAAAGAGAAATTAAGGAAACACTACCATTTACCATTGCAACAAAAAGAATACAATACCTAGGAATAAACCTACCTAAGGAGACAAAAGACCTGTATTCAGAAAACTATAAGACACTGATGAAAGAAATCAAAGATGACACAAACAGATGGAGAGATGTTTTTGGATTGGAAGAATTTTGGATTGGAAGAATTGGTATTGTGAAAATGACTATACTACCCAAAGCAATCTACAGATTCAATGCAATCCCTATCAAATTACCAAATGGCATTTTTTACAGAACTAGAACAAAAAATCTTAAAATTTGTATGGAAACACAAAAGACCTCGAATAGCCAAAGCAATCTTGAGGGAAAAAAACGGAGCTGGAGGGCTTCCCTGGTGGCGCAGTGGTTGAGAGTCCACCTACCGATGCAGGGGACACAGGTTTGTGCCCCGGTCTGGGAAGATCCCACATGCCACAGAGCGGCTAGGCCCGTGAGCCATGGCTGCTGAGCCTGCGCGTCCGGAGCCTGTGCTCCACAACGGGAGAGGCCACAATGGTGAGAGGCCCACATACCACACAAAAACAGAAAAAACAAAAAAAAACAAACAAAAAAACAGAGCTGGAGGAATCAGCCTTCCTGACTTCAGACTATACTACAAAGCTACAGTTATCAAGACAATATGGTACTGGCACAAAAACAGAAATATAGATCAATGGAACAGGAAGCCCAGAGATAAACCCACGTACCTATGGTCAACTAATCTATGACAAAGGAGGCAAGGATATACAATGGAGAAAAGGCAGTCTCTTCAATAAGTGGTGCTGGGAAAACTGGACAGCTACATGTAAAAGAATGAAATTAGAACACTCCCTAACACCATTCACAAAAATAAACTCAAAAGCAAACCCAGTGAACTAAATTAGCAGTCACTTAAAAGTGAATATTCTAAGGTTTTCGAAAATCTATACACGCAGAAATTATTGTACTGTTTATGCAATCAAGAGGGTCACATACATGTTAGAGCCTGAGTTTGGGAGTTTAAATGAACCCCGCTAAAGAGATAAATTTCTCTCCATTCTTTTAATATCAGGCAGGACAGAAAACAAGCCTGCAAAAGACCTTGATGTGTTTTTTGTATTTTGCAGATGGCAGGAACTCATCGTGTTTGTCATGAATGGAGAGTTCGATGAGGAGAAGCTTTTAGCGGAACTTCAGAAAACCCTCAGTGTTCACACACTGGGATCCTTGAGCAAAGGGAAGATCAATTAGCCATTGTTCTGCCATGGGAGACAAACTCACTAACCTCTTAGAATCACAGAAGCTAGACAGAGAAAGATATGACTTCACTCACTGTGGGATTCTGGACCCATGTTAACATCTGGTAGTTTCTGATTTTTAGGTCCTTGCTCTATAATTCTACAGTGTGTGGGTCACAGACCTATAGGATTCAGGGGATTGTGGTTTATGTTCTTGCAGGCCTTATGAGGTTCTACAGTTTCAGCAAATCGCATGCTAACATCTGCAAGGGATTTTCAAATAATGATGCTTATTAAAGCACTTATACCCGCATTATGTTAATCCTCATGACACCTCTGAACGATTAGGTTTTGGTTTTTTTTTTCAGATAAGCAAACTCATGCCAGAAGGTTTGTAAAACCAATAACAACCAAAAAAAAAAAAAAAGACCCTAAGCCCAAACAAACCAGCTTCTTGTTGGAGTATACAGAAAATCCTGAGATACAGAAATTAAAAGAATACAGTTGATGCCATCAAGATGCACTCACACAGTGCTAACTGTACCATCATGTTACAAAGTTATAATGACACACTGTGGATTTGTAATCACCACAAATATGAGTACCAACAACGCCTTAGACATTATTCACCACCAAGTCTGGCTCATCGAGGCGGGGTCCTTTGGTTTGTGACGAGGAGGGAGCCGGCATGGTGGGTGATGAGACATGGCCTGGGGTCCACGTTCTGGTGCAAAGCAGCCCTGGTTTGTCACGGGTTAGGGAATTACTAAATCCCAGGGAGAGTCCAGCTATGTGCCCAAAGCTCCAATCAGGCTTAGGTGACAATGACGCTCTGAGAGCCTGTTCCTGCACCTGTCCTTAAATTCAAAACCCTCATAATATCAGCAAGCCTCCGGGATCTGTGGAAACTACACATACAGTCCTGTGAGAAGAGAGCCCAAGTCAACAAAGAAGCCGTAACCTTCTCAGAAGGGAGGTTGGTGTAGTTCAAAAAGTGTCTTCCTAAAGATAAGAACTAGGTCTCTGGCTTCTTTCTTACTTTCCTGTACAGCAAAAACACTGTTTCTCCTGCCTCGGCTGCCTCTTTCCTCATCTCTTGTGCAACTGA